TTTTCTGTAAGATCATTTCTCTTCGAGTTATCCCTTGTTGAAAATAACCATAAAAATTTTTTTATATCCTTTACTTTTTGTGAGTAGTGTATAAATGATTGAGAAATTATACATTTTCTTTTTTGTTTAAGCTATTATTCGATAAACCAATGTGTAACTTGTCTTAAATTTTGTATTTTTTTGCAATTACTTTTGTAATTTAATATTTTAGAATTACTTTACAAGTTTTACATCCAATTTTTGCCTATTTCAATCCTTGTTGATCATTTGTATATCCGCGTTCGATATATTTGTATTATTACAATTGCTCCCCTCGATGAAAATTGAACATAAAAATTGAAATTTTCTTCGATGTTACCAAACGGATAAAAAATCGATTAATCAACTAATTATTTTAACTATCCTCCGATTTATAAAAATTCTTTTTTTTTATTGGTTATACAGAATTTAATTTAAAAAAATATAGAAATTACTAAAGATAGAAAAAATAAAATAATAAAAACAATAATAAAAATAATTGTAACAAGGGGGAAGAAGCCGTGCAAATGGGAAAAATATTTTAATAATATCCCTCGATGCAGAGCTAACCACCACTCTGTTAAGGAGGTTCAGGACAGGCATGAGGGGAGCTGGGGTAACGGGAAAGCGTCTATGCTGTAACATGGGATGAAGTGAGTGGTGACAACTGTAGATAAATAAATTCAATTTTCTGTATTAACGCACTTGAAAATATATATGGTGACAAAATTAATTAAAATTGAATATTAAGCAATAGTCTGTACTGTAACGGCGGCTCAAAAAAAAAAAAAAAAAAGACAAAAAAATACTGGCCACACACTTAGCTCGTAAATTAAGATAAAAAACTGCGTACAGCTGAATAAGGAAAATTTTTTCTGTGAACGACAGTTTTCGGCTCGCGCATCTGGCAATCTTCGGATGTTGAAAACAATCAGAGCGATTTTACGATCGGGCCATCCGGAGTAGCCAGATTGCGAGCATCTTTAGAAAGTAGAGATCTGCAGCGCACATGTGCATCCTGCCGATAGTACTGTTATTTTCTTTTAAATAATTTATTCTCAATATTACTAATTTCTTTTAAATTGAAAGAAGCGCGATTGCTTGCAGATCTCTTAAAAAATTGCGAAATTTATCTATTGTAAGTAACATTCGAGTAATCAACAAGGACTATTTCAATTAATAGTTTTTGTTTATTACTCGGATATGTTTTAATTTTATACCTAAATATAAATATGGGAATAATTCATTATTTTTCCGTATTTATTAGGATTTTCTTTTTACCAAGTTGGTATGTTTAATTGTTGAATGCGTCAACTTTGCTTTAGAAAATTTAAGAATGGCTTGAACGTAAGTTAATGACTATATTTATTATAATTAACTCTGATTTTTCAGCATTTCTTAAGGCTTTTTAATAATTAATTAATAGTTAAGATATTAATATCTTGGTTGTTTTCAGATAAATATAATTCTTAACTTTTGTTCAGTACTTTAGTTTTATTATAGATTGAGAGATATTTTTGTAAAATTAGAGTACCACACACACAATTGATTTTAAATAGAATTAGTTTAAATAATTAAAGGTCATAATAGTACATAGAGGGCCATCTATGTGAAGAGGGCCCAAAGCGCTTAAATGAGGCCACTCCCGCACACTCCGCCCCCGGCCAATTAGGGTTCGAATTTTGCTTACGCTTGAGACACTCCCCAAATTTTCCAACCAATTAAGTTGAGAAAATTTGAGTTCTTCCTGCCCAAAAATGATAAAGATTTTCGAGTGGGAGTCTCTTGCGAAAAGTATAAAAGAGAGCTTTTCAAGAAAATTGGGCAGTTGTTTTCCAGTTCGCTCAGATTTTTCTAGTTTCTCTAATTCGTTCAGTTTGTGTAACTTTTTCGAGTTCGTTTATTCAAGTTCCAGTTAATTTTTCAGTGTGTGTGGGAAAACTATTATAAAAAGTGAGTAAGAAATATTAAATAAAAAAATTTACACTCTAACTACTTTCCATTAACTTTTCTCTCCTTACTCTTTCCTTTCCTAGTTTCGTGTACGGGTTTTTCTTTCTTAGATAGTTACACTCGATTGCCAAGCGTGTGGTCGAGTGCATATTAGATAGGCTCCCCTTTTACGTTATTTTATTGCCAAGAGTGTGGTAAAATAACGCGAAGCATTACTATATTGCCAAGTGTGTGGTATGGTAAAGCTTCAATCCCTCGTCGCCGAAAAAAGACAGACAACTGAGCACTCCCAAAACTCGGCTCCTTTTGTATGTAGCAACCGTGAATTTACTCAAACAAATTCACGACATGAGATAAGGCTTGAATCTACGTATACAGTATTTTTGTTTTGACTGATCCTACTACTTTGCATATCCCTTCTAAATAAACGCTATTGACCTATCTGATTATATACACAATTATTATTATATTAGACTTAATTTTATTTAGCGAACTTCATACTAAAACTCAATTTAATTGTTTACAATATAATACATCTCAAATCCATCTATTTACATACCTAAACTATTTATTTTATTCGTTATTCATTTAAAAAATATAGTTTCAAACTTTTCACTTGAAATCGAACTTTCTCATGATCATCTTCCTTGGATATTATATACGTGTCTTCTGCGATTTTTCGCTTATTTAAAATGGACCATTTAAACATCAAAGAATTTATGGATTTAACCGTCTTCCCGCACTATATGTATTTCTAACTTTTAATATTACTTTCTCATTCACTTCATACGTTGGATGTATGGTATTAGATTTTTTGTTCGCTCTTTTAATCAATTTATTGTGTATCTTTGACATTGTCAAGAATAATTTTCTTTCATAAGATATATTAGCGTTCTCAATTTTAATATATATTTTTTCATACTCTTGTGGGTCTTATATTGAAATGTAAAATAGGCATATGACCGGTAGTATCATGATACGTTTCGTTAATAATCTAAGTAATTTTATATGTACAACGTACCCAATTCAGTTGTTAGAGAGAACTAGTATTGTTCAACAATCTTAATGGCGAAAGTAAAAGATCACTGGGTACGAGATTAAACGAATATCAAAAAAATATTAGAGGTGAAACTGTTGCTAGAATGTATAAAAACACCTTATTGCATAACTTTGAATAGATTAATGCTAAGATATTAGATTACGAAAGTAATTAAAAAAAAACTAAAAATTTCATAAATATTACACATTGGTTTATCGATTTATGACGACCGGAACGACCGTTGAGTTCGCTCGCCTTGTTCGCCTCTCTTTCTCTTCCACGTGCCTTCCCCTTCGCCGCTGCCACATCGTTCTTAGTTGATTCAAACCGAGTATCAACGCATGATGTGGCTCTGTTTCAGATCTGATTCCTGATCGGCGTGGATGTTTGGCACAAGAGGGACGAAACAAGAGTAGGAAACGAAAGAAGAAGAGAGAGAGAGAAATAGTGTCGCCGGCATGAGTCACACATGTGTGCGTAGCCAGCGGCGCTCGGTCGTTTAGGTACTTGTAGGGAGGGGCGCGGAAGACGCCGCGGAAAGCGCGAGATCGCGAGGGCAGTACGGCTTTGACCAACAACGTGCTTATTAGCTGGATTAGCCTCGCAAAAAGTGAAGTGTGTGAGACACGCGATTACTAGCTCTTACAAGAACTACGCCAGACATTGGAGGAGAGGACCAACTGCGCCGTGACCAATCAATCCATCTTCTTCGAGGACAGCAGCCGACGGAAGTGGACTTCCACTACAGCGCTCCCTCCTAAGGTCAGATACCCTTGTTTTTTTTCCTTGGTGCGCGCTTCGACTTCTCTCTCTCTCTCTCTCTCTCTCTCTCTCTCTCTGAGCATCATATCGGCCGGATACGGACGAGTGGTTGTGCATGCGTAGAATTCGCACAGCATCCACGGGAACTCGCGGGATAATCTTGTAAAATCTTGTAAGGCGATGCTTGGGCTCCGGTGCGTTAATTCGCATGGGACAGACTAGACCCGGACTTTGCCCGACGCACAACTCAAGACGTGCTGGATGTACATAGGAAAATTTGAATAAAAGTGTAATTGACTATACAAGAAATGATTTCATATAACCTGTCTCCTCTTATAATTAGATAAATCGCGACTATTGAGATTGCCGGGTGATGAAAGCCCCTCATTAATTTTTAGCGACGAAGCGATTACGGACTTTTTTCCTTAAAATAATTTGTGACGCAACGTTACTTGGGCTTATTTCCGACGCGAAAACTGGAAAATATAAACGAACGTGTTACAGATTAATAGCTCAAACAAGAATGAAAATGTATGATTTCTCAATCACTTTTGTAAACGACTATTGAATTTCCTTAAAACAGATTAAAGTTAAACTCCTAATCCTATATTAAAGTTATTTCCGATATCATGTAACAGCAATAGTAGATAAAATTTTTTTACTTTTAATTCGACTGACTATAAAAAATATTCTCTAGCCTATACATAATTGAAACGTTATTGACTAGGTTAATATGAATAACACTTTGACATTGATTTGTGTAATTAATTTGCGTTGTTATTACGAGTTTTTGTGTTTTCGTTAAGCCTGAAGCGGTCAACGAAATTGCTAACAAAACGTCGCTTATTATTAAACGTTAGTAAACTTTATTTACTGTACAACTTTTTCATCATTGATCATTATAATTACTGAATGTATACATAATATGGAGAAAATCACATAGATCTCGAATGATATAATATGGTTTTCTAAGGAATATTGTCAAATAAGTAAAATTACTGTATTTTATTACACAGTAATCTGAAGATACTTGATATAACATATGTTTATATCGAAGTTAACATACTTTACCTATCATGAAATAAGGAACTCTCACGTGAGATTTTATATGGAATTTTGTCGGTTTTTTTATATAGGAACGTGATTAGCAAACAATTTAAGATTTTCTTTGTAATACCACATGACGTAATCATAAGTTAATTTTTCTCTAAATATTATTATATTTCAGGAGTTTGTGCGATATATTTCAACACGGGAAACTAAATAAAGAACAATTCTTTCTAGCTATGTGGCTTATTAAACAAAAATTGAATAAGAAAGAAATACCTGCTAGATTATCATCAGACATGATACCACCTTCCTTAAGGAAAATAACTACGTCTGAGCATGAATTGGTAAAGTATTCATTTATACATAACTATAAGATAGTTACAATGTAGATGCTATTCTTTTATTGTCATATTTGAAAATTTCCATCTGTTTTATATTATATTATATCATATATCAGCTCATCTTATTGTATTTATTAAATTACACAACATTTTTTCTTGTTTATTATTTCCGATTAATCCAGCCTCTTTGTTGGTCAATTATTTTTGTTCATGATAATCGGAGTTGATATTTAGAACTATCCCGAAAGAGAAGACATCAAGAGTTATCCATGTACATTATTTCATAATCACGGAGATGATCATAATTACGTCAAAAATCCGTAGTTATGTATGAAAAAGAATTTATGAAATTTAGTAAACGTAATGTTTTTTAATTACGTTTTGTCCTTTCTAGTAATTGGAATCTTGACGGTTTATTAATTTGTATGATTTCTTGTTTAAATTTTATGTTTTGATAATTAATCAATTTGAAACTAACATAAAAGAATAAATATGAAAAATGTACGTAAATATCTAATCTCGAATCTCCAATTGCATGTCTACGTGTATAATGATAGCCGATTGTGAAAAATTGACTATTATGATAATGAGATGTCAAAATCTGATCTAGATATTGATCACAATAATAATACCTTAAAATGTTTTCTATACCTATTCAAAATGTATTTACGAAGATATTTTTTATTATTGATGAAAAACTTTCAGATTATGATAATCACATTTTTAAATCATTACTCTTTAAGTAATATTGAAAAAGTTGAAATGTTTGGAATCTATTTTTCGGACAACATTGTTGAGACATCGCACGTTTATCAAAATGTCATAGCTGATCAGAACATAGAGATATCCAGCGCTATGTCAATTTTTGCATGTAAATTTTTTTTTTTTTTTTTTTTGATGCGAGCAAAATGAAACAATCTTGATAGTCTCAATAAGACTACGTGGAAAACATTCTAACCATAATGATATAAATGAGGTAAATATATTAGCAATGAACCTCCACCTCGAGATCTTAGTAAGGGGAAGTGAATATTTGCAATGATCTGTAAAGCAAAGTATGAGGTGTGATCAAAAAGTAAGGTGAATTTTTATTTTTCTCAAAAAATATTTATTTATTCATCAATTTTTATTTTGTCTCCTTCAAAGTAATCCCCCTCGGATATAATGCACTTGTGCCAACGCTTTTTCCAATCCTCAAAGCATTTCAAAAAATCATTTTTTGTGATCTTGTTTAGTTCATCCTTCGATGCCGTCTTTATCTCCTCAATCGTGGCAAAACGCCGTCCTTTCATGGGCCTCTTCAGTTTTGGGAACAAGAAGAAGTCACAGGGGGCCAGATCTGGGGAATACAGTGCCTGGGGCATCGTTACTGTGTTGGTTTTAGCCAAAAATTCGCGCACAAGCAACGATGTGTGAGCAGGGGCGTTATCATGGTGCAAAAGCCAATTTTTATTTTTCCACAAATTCGGACGTTTCTGGCGGATTGCTTCGCGAAAATTGCGCATAACTTGCAGGTAATATTCCTTATTTACTGTTCTACCCTGTGGCAAGAACTCATGATGCACCCCGCCCCTGCAGTCGAAGAAAACTGTAAGCAAAACCTTTACATTTGATCGAACTTGGCGTGCTTTTTTTGGTCTTGGTGATCCAGAATGCCTCCACTGGGACGATTGAGTCTTAGTCTCGACGTCATAACCGTATACCCATGTTTCATCACCTGTTATAACCCTGTTGAGTAAATCTGGATCATCGTTGACGTCATTCAGTAGCTCTTGGGCGATGCTCATGCGACGTTTCTTTTGGTCGAAATTGAGCAATTTCGGAACAAACTTCGCTGACACACGTCTCATGTCTAAAACACTCGTCAAAATTGATTGGCACGAACCAAATGAGATGCCAATATCATCAGCAATTTCTCTAATGGTAATTCGACGATTTCCCAATACTATTTTCTTCACTTCTTCAACATTCTCATCAGTTGTTGATGTGCTGGGGCGTCCAGAACGAGGTTCGTCGTCGGTGTCTTCTCGGCCTTCTTGGAAGAGTTTATACCACTTGTAAACATTTTTTTGGCTTAAAGTAGACTCACCGTATGCCACTTTCAGCATTTCAAGTGTTTTGGAACATTTGATTCCATTTTTCACACAAAATTTAATGCAAACTCTTTGATCCATGTTTTTAGACAGCAGCAAATCGTGGAGCACGCAAAACACTTCTAACCTTGATGCCTCTCACAAACAAACCAAACATACTACAAAGCTGAAATTTGGAACGTATGTTCTAGACGAGTGTACCGACATAACCAAATAAAAAAGTCGAAGATCGAACGGACGTAGCCCGCTAAATTTCAAAATTCACCTTACTTTTTGATCACACCTCGTATATTGCAGAATCCGGTAATCATCAACACTCATAATAATTCAGAGATTCAAGCTTCAGCAGACTGGAAACTTTGAATGCTCGTTCGCGACGGGTTATCTTGAAAATGAAGCAGGTTTTCGAAGACCTTATAAGAGTCAAACAAAATATCATGTTTCGCTAGCTATAACGCCCAAAAACGCGATAAAGATGAAACTGAAGTATACCATTATTTAACAATTGAAGACGTCTCTTTATTTTCATTACTAAGCGAGACAGGAGAGTATATCCACTATGGATTGTCCATGTATTTATTATAATTGTTATTAAAATGTATTGTATTTATTCCGAGTTTATTTAAAATCTTTGTAACACATAGAAACAATAAGTAAATGTTATCACTATATTATATATGTTACATGAAATCTATAAGAAGACTCCAGTAAATATTCGGTCTTTATTTTAAAGTCGGAATGTACGGAATAGATTGAGATTTATTTATACATTCGTTGATTTATATTTCTCAAATCTTGTGTTGGTGAAAAATGTCTTGAAAAGGTTACTGATAAGTTTATTTGGGTGGGTTGGAAGTTTGTTGTTACATTTTGTGTAAAAATTTTAATTTTTTTTAGAGTGAAGCTCTTCTTCTATCATTCAGTAATTGAATGGCTTGTTATGAAACGCTCTGAGTGAAACAACATACGGCTTGTGCGCCTGCGCGCGCCAGATTGCTGTAGCTGGCTTACAACCTAGCACATACCCATACACACACACATAAGTATACACACACACACACACACCTACAGCAACCCATGGCGCTGGCAGTAGAGCCAAATGCAGTAGGTTATAGTGTTCATTAATAGAGACAGCGCTGACTGTAGACCTATAGTGTGTGTTAGTATAGAGCATTACACAAGGACAAACGCACCTTTTATTTATTATTGAGTTAATTATTACCGAAATCACATACGATGATGAATGTTATTAATACTTCAATAAATTTATTTATGAATAATTGATAGAGCTTATTATATCATTAATAGCACAGGTTTACAAAATAAAAAAAGTTGATGCCTATTTGACCAGACCATATAACTTTTATGTATTTCGATGCGCTGAACACGAATCCAAGGTCCGTTGATCTCCATCACGTCAGGTTAAAGGTCTTTTGAAGGTCAAATGTATTTAATACAACGGAATTTAAAATTTGACTACGGATTCGGAAAGAGCGGAAAATTTTACGTTCAAATACATATGTTGGTTTTTTCCAACATGACCTTTGAAGGACATCTAGAGCTCAAACAAATAATAAATAGACCTTATTTGCTTTTTATCCATATGAACTTGTTTTTGAGACGTCCGATGGGCTTCTATTGTATACTGTCATGTATCTTTGTATTCTGAATACAAACCTGGAATCCATTTGACCTCATCCAGTTAGGATCAAGATCATTTCAAGGTTAATTCGTTAATTTTGCACAAAAAAACAAATATAACCCTAGTCTTTGAACCATGGTTGCTTTAACCCTCGAGCCCTGCAACTCTCTATGACCTTCGACCTCCGCATCCTAATTTCCTAAAACCCCGAGAACTTAACCTTAAAACGCTTTGAACCAATCCCTCATACCCCCAATTCCATAACCACCGAGCACTTAATCCTAAGACCCGATTCCCCATACTCCAATGTTCTTAACTCCCCAGCACTTAACTCTGAGACATCTTACACCCAATCCCTAATACTACATTTTCCTTAATAACCGAGTCCTATAAACTATAAGCGTGCACCAGCGGCTCCGTTCGACGGTCCTTTTGAGGATAGTTGGATATCCAGTGCAGCAGCGGCTCCGTCCGACGGTCCTTTTCAGGATAGTTGGATATCCGGTGCAGCAGCGATTTCTCCAGTTTTTATTTAGTTATTTTGTACAAATACAGCAGGACTTGATTTATGATCTGCAAAAATGGATGAGTGCTCAAAAAGTTTCTGTGTTCTGTGCGGCAAATACAACGTTCATAGAAACTTAATTTCTTTCTCTAAGAAACTTCGCATGATCTACGACGAGTGTTTTAAAACCACTGATGTGGATCTAAACCAACCCTGGATTCCAAAACTCATCTGATTCACGTTTAAGACGTTGGAAAAGTGGAGAGCGACAAATGATATTTTCGTCGCCTATGATTTGGTGCGCACCTCGAGATCATGATAATGATTGCTATTTTTGTATAAACACCAAATTTGGATTTAATTCAAGAAACATTCGATTTGTGCCTTACACAACTACTTTGTCTGTCACAATGCCAGTCTTAGTAAGCGATACCAGTCATGATGAAGATGAAGCAATGGAAATCGATATAAGTGATGAAAACATTACAGAATCTTTGGGGAACACGGACCAAGAAAATGACAAAGAAGATAAAGAAGAAGATGACGCAGAACATGATGAAATGAATGACCGAGAATGTTACGAAGAAGATGACGAAGAAACTGATTGTGATGTTAGTACAACGGGTAACGAGATAACCCCTTCAAAGTTCAATCAGAGTGAACTCAACGATTTGGTAAGAGATTTAGGGCTATCTAAAGCGCAATCGGAACTATTGGCATCACGGCTGAAAGAAAAAGGTTGTTTACACAAAAAAACAAAAGT